TCTATTCTCTGGCATTGATGATGTATATTCTGAGTTCACAGCTCAATCACGGAATGCAACACAGCTTTTCCTGTGCTTTGCAAGACTACGCTGGTGGTTATAGGTCTTCCCACAAACACACTGCACGGTCACTTTGTCATGGATTGCGGTTTTGTGGTACGCCAGGCCTCTATAGCTAGAGAACACCTTGTCACACTGGGCACAAACATACACTTTCCTCGGATCCAAATACTGAAGAGAGTTCCCACCAAAACTTGGATTATGAACTAGGGATAAAGATGCAGAGCTAAGATTTCCATCAAACCCATCTTGAGGATTATCGGCTCTAGAAGCAACAACTTGGAAACCTGAAAGGAACAAAAGTCCATGTTCACAGGGGGGAAACAAAAGACATCACTACTATCAGCATATGAACAGTTTTATTGATACCATGGCAACAAGAGGAAGTAATCCAACAAACATTACAGTTACATAAGCAGACAGAGATACCAACCTAGTTTTTTACACAAGATACAATGAGGATTTCTGATTTCTAGGAGACAGGGTACATGTACTAACATTCTTCATTGAAGTCGACTCATTCCAGTAAAACTCGCATTTATGTGTTCCTGTTCCTTTCTATTAGTGAGTGAGTGACTGGAATACTGTTCGAAGAGGTGTTCCCAAATCACTCACTCAAAAGACAATTATTTGACAAAAATTACACAATCAATAAAAAAAGTTTAGAAGATCAGAGTACAACCCAAAAGATAGGGCTTTAAGTTTGTACTGTTTTGTTTTAAGGCTGCTATGACATTCCAAAGCTACAGTATTTTTAAGTAATTTTATTCTGAATTAAAAAAACAAAATCCAGTTTTGGACAAAAATGATTTTCCCCACCATTTCCCTAAAAGCTGAGATTGTTAGATTATTAGAGTGAGTGAGTTTGGTTTTACGCCGCTTTTAGCAATATTCCAGCAATATCACAACAGGGGACACCAGAAATGGGCTTCACACATTGTACTCATATGGGGAATCGAAACCCGGGGTCTTCGGCATGACGAGCGAACACTTTAACCACTAGGCTACCCCACCGCCTCTCCTTTCTATTAACAAAAACAATTTGGTTCATAGAAAAAATGGCCCATCCTGCAAACCTTGCTGAGAACAATGTTATTAAAAATTTGTCATTAATTACATGGAGGTGATACTGGTCTCAGGATGTATATCTCGGATCAATTTAGATGACCCCAAACTTTCGCTGTCATCTTTTTTTCATTGCTGTATTTTCCCCACAAATAACATGATACCATAATCTAATTTCATTAGAATCAGATCAGGAGTCATGTCAAAACAGCTTCAGCTTTCTTCTTGGAAGCAGTGATATTAAACTTACATCTATTTCCGTATCTTTGTAAGTGCTATTACCAATGCTTACAGTGAGTGAGTGAGTGAGTTTGGTTTTATGCCGCTTTTAGCAATATTCCAGCAATATCACGGCGGGGGACACCAGAAATGGACTTCACACATTGTACCCATGTGGGGAATCGAACCAGGGTCTTCGGCATGACGAGCGAACGCCTTAACCACTAGGCTACCCCACAGCCCCCCAATGCTTACATGAGAGGTTATTATAACATTGTGAAATAGGTTTTAACCATGTAATTAAGTAAGAGTGGTCTTCCTTTGACTGTGTTTTCAGAATGTGTCTTTAGTTAAGAACCATGGGTCTTAACCTTGGCTAGAATCTCTTTCAATGCATGGTGCACACAAATCAGCCTTTTGCTTACAAACGTCAGAATTGAGTATGATCATGACAAATACAATGGCAGGAGGTGATGATGCTTAGCATAAAGAAAGTGGAGCTGGTTTTTAGATACCAGAAATACTAGAAGCTGCCCAATACAAGCGGATTTGTCTGGGAGTAGTCACAATGGGGAAACATGACCATACAGGAAGGACAGTGTGTAAAGGTACATGATGTGTGCCCACTATTGCCCAGAATGTGAATGACCCCTGCACAAGTCAGTTCCAGTACCTTGTGGAATAAATGTTTGATTCAACAGTACATTTAACCTCATAAGGCACATAGATATTAGCAGTAGACAGCGCTTTCCTAGCATAGATATCGTATCATTGGCAAATAAATTCTTTTTTCGAGCCTCAGGCACCTAGGCACCTATTTTGTCACATGTTTAAATCATTAGTTTTTTTCGCATAATTTTTGGTAACATTAGGCAAAATGGTTCCATCCGCATTCATATACATGACCTCATTTGCATATTTATCACATGGCAAGACCAAATACCAGATGGACTAACTGCAGCGATTACACTATCATGATAAAAAGCATCTAGGTTATGGTATAAATTGCTTTAGACTCCACTATCCAAACATGGACACGTCCACTTAAATCATTTAGGAATAAGACACTATTCCTATGTGCAGAATCAATTTATGTGACTTCTAGCTCTGCTTGTAAACAGCCTCATCACAACCCATCATGGCAAACTTTTCCTATGTTCTACTGACAAGCAAGCATGTGAAGGTGACATACGTCAATGTACAAACAGTGATATGTGGATTTCAGAAACAAACATGGAGAACAAACATCCAAGAGTCTTGCAGGTATATCTCACTACAAGACTGACCACTATACACATTTTCAACAAGAACAACCGGATGGCCTGTAATTATTCAAGTCATTACCAGAACAGGTGATGGTTAGTATAAGCAATGATCCAAGCTGTCGAGGTGTGACAATGATCTCGAACTCAAAACAAGCTTCTGTTGCTGGAAAGATGTTCTAACCTTGAACCCCAAGGTCACTGAACATCAGTACCCGTTCGATTTAGTCACCTCTTAAAACAAGCATCTGTTGCTGGAAAGATGTTCTAACCTTGAATCCCAAGGTCACTGAACATCAGTACCCGTTCGATTTAGTCACCTCTTAAAACAAGCATCTGTTGCTGGAAAGACATTCTAACCTTGAACCCCAAGGTTACTGAACATCAGTACCCGATCCATTTAGTCATCTCTTAAAACAAGCATCTGTTGCTGGAAAAATGTTCCTTGAATCCTGACAGTGTTGCAATATTTGGCAATAGCTCACAGTCTGTAACTGAATAAAGTGTCAAAGTACCTTCCATTGATGTCACAATCCATTTCTACACAATGATTGCATATTTTGGCGATGTCCACTGACATGAATGAGTCAATGAGATTTTACTCAGCTTTCAACAATATTTCAGCAAGTGGGGAAAGATCCTAAGATTGGGCTTCACACATTTTGACACATGGGGAATCAATCTCTTTTTTAAGACAAAATAGTGCATTGATCATCTGACAACCCCAGCATCTTCCAATGATATAATTGGTTTTAAAGAATTGGAATGCTCCTCTTCTGAATCAAAACCATAACGTCAGTATGCCAGAACACCAAATCCATCACCTCAAACAACCTGCACAGGTTGCCAGGAAACACTTCAAGCCTCGAATCCCCATATTTACGTCCACGACAAACGTCACACAGAATGTCTGTGAATCTGATAAGGAAAGCATGACTTCTGGTGATGACTTAGGGTGCGTTGATGGTTGTAAACCCTTCCACAAAGACACCTGACAGTGATCTTCTCGTGGATAGCTCTCTTATGATATCGCAGACCATGCATGCGAGCAAATACTTTGGGACACTGATCACAAGCAAATGTTCTCCTGGGGCCTGGAAGGTATTCACCAAAATTAACTTTCAAAGCAGCAAGTATTTGTCCGTCTGGTCCAAGATGTAACTGATCGGTAGCAGAAGTTCCCTTTTTATTGGAACCTGAAAATAACAAAAAAGGAGGCCTTAGTCTATACCAGCAGCTGAGCCTTAAGCAGCAGACGTCTGTGAACACAACAAGAATTGGGCAAGTGGGTTTATGAGCAACTGTACGTCTGTGTCAGTTAAAATAGTCCTAACTAAACAAACCAGTGAGTGATGGTCGCACATGTGTCTGATGTTGACAAGGATCTTGAACAACACTGGTAATGGACAAACGCTACGTCACTGAAATCAGATTTGACTAAACAAACCAATGAGTGATGGTCGCACATGTGTCTGATGTTGGCAAGGATCTTGAACAACCCTGGTAATGGACAAACGCTACGTCACTGAAATCAGATTTGACTAAACAAACCAATGAGTGATGGTCACACATGTGTCTGATGTTGACAAGGATCTTGAACAATATTGGTAATGGACAAACGCTACGTCACTGAAATCAGATTCGATTGAATAGTCTGTCTGACCCAACTTTACTGATGTGGTTGACAAGGATCTTGAACAAACTTGATAATGGGAAATGTCACTGAAATCAGACCTGTGTACACAGACCAGTGTCAGATATGATCTTTAAAGATGATGGTTTTACTTTACTATGCTGGTTGACAATGAAGCAGACGTCAATGAAAACAGCTAACAATGGGCATGGTCAATATTTGTAGAGCCACGTCTGTGAAAATGGGGCTGAGTAAACAAAACTTTGTGAGTTGTAGCATGACTGTTGCATCATGGTTTCTTTTTACTGTGCTGGTTGACACTGAAGCACAGAAATCACTGGGCATCAGTATTTGTACTGCCATGTTTGTCAATAAACAAAACATTGGGTGTTGGAGGCATGTCTGTTGGATGTGGCCTAATATAATTATGCCAGCTTCCGAAATGAAGAAATCATATCTAGATATATTCATACACCACAAAACTAAAATAAACTGGTCAAGTTGGATTTAGCACATGTGTCTGCAAGGGATCATCATATAAAATAGCTGCAAAACTCAACAACCACTGGATAGCAGTAACTCCTCCCGAGCTTGTCTGACAACCTAAAGTCGCAGTACGACTATCCGACAAAGAAAAACAACGATCAGATCAAAGTGTATCTCCTTCGTGTAATGTATGTGATGTCAACTGTAAGAATGAATGAATACAAAGTATGTAATATACCAAAGCTTTGACTAAGATCACTACTAAATTAGACATATTAAAGGCTTCATTCATGTGTTTATTGCAACAACACCCGATACACTCATCCAGAGAGCACAACATTAATAGTCTTGTATGAGTGAGTGAGTTAATATTTAACGTCACATCGGCATTGTCTTGTATGAAGCTAGATTCACAATAAGCTATACTTAGCCAAGCTTACCATAACCAAGTACACATTTTGAAACCTAATACCATTTGCCAAAACAGAAATACTCTTCTGTAAATGTCTACTTCACAAGTGATTTCAAATAATACTGGATTATTAACAATTGTTTTCACAATGAGAGCCTCATCTCTGATCACTGCTGCTTGATCCACGCACTTTTACTGAGTAATGTCCCTTCTGGTTTAACAAAGAGTCAGTATTGTACACATAGAAAGTTGGTTGGTTCCTCTGACCAGTCATAGTTTCTATAACCCGCGAGTCGACTCCAGCATGGGAGAGAAGCGCCGATGTGGTGGCCCGCACACAATGGTTTGTGTAGATCTTGCTGAGTTTGTATTCAGTAGATATTCCTTTCATCATCTGCGAGAGCGTGTTGTGGCCAACGGCTTTCAGCGTATACCACACACTCTCTAGTTGCTGTGCGTGTTTCCGTGGCTGCTGGAAGAAGGCCGAGTTCTGTGGGTTCAGTTTGGAACAGTACTTTCTGAACGCCGATACGGGACATGATCGGGAACTTGTTGCGTAAATACGAGGTATCCCCTGCACTTTCTCAGATGGACCCTTAGTACCCTCTGTGTTTCTGAGTGCTAAATACTCCACACCATCATCATCTCTTTCAATAGAAAAGGAATGAACAGTCAAATCCCTCTGATTCTCACTCCCCCCGTCTTCCAAAACCTAACGTTATATCAAACCACACTTTTCGCTGGAGGTTTATCGGAGAATCTGTGGACTGAGAATCTCGGATTCTTTTCAAATCCTCCGGAGATATTGCTTCATAGTGTGCAACACTGTCCAGTCCAAGCTTCTTAATATTTCCCAACACACCCATGAACACCTTGTTAGCATTGTGGAATTCCTTATCTTGCAGAATATTTATGTTTCTTTCATACGGAGGTGAGCGAAGGCGCCGGTGAATGGCCGCTCTCAGGCCGATATAGGACGACCTTGAATAATATTGACCATCTTCAGTGCGAACCTCGGCATAAAACCGTCTCAAGTGAGCGCTTAATTCTTCCGTTGGAAGTTCCTCGAATTCTGTAGATTTGTCATGTTGCGTCAGCCATTCTGAATAGAAAGGAACGTCTAGTCAGGTATGCCTGAGAGTAATTGTTTCGGGAAATTTTAATTGTACAGATAAAGTCCAAAGTAAGGAAATTTATACAAGTCTATATAATCTCATGTTCTTAAAATAACAATTTACAAAATTCCTTTATTGCTTCCAAAGGACATGCACCCTTTATGACCATTTTTACAACATACTGGGTTCAAAGTTCATTGATTTTATTCGTCCAAGGCAAGTAAAATTCAACAAAAACAAGTTTTCATTCCATGTGTACTGACACTCCTGCCATTAGCTAACTCTTCAGTGGATTGAACTTTCTGACCCGTGAGAAAAAACATTTTCTAGTCCTGATTTACTAAGAGCCTTGCATTGTACTTTAAATAGAAATAAAATGAAACAGTTAATTCTTCTCACGTCTAAATATATTAACTCCCCATAGCGTAGTTCGCTGGGTGCTCTTGGCTCGCCCATCCAGTAAGATGGAATCTAGTTCCGACTCCTCCACTGTAGCGAAACGCCCTGTAGACGTAGACCTATGTGTGGGGCTCTCTGCCGGGACAATCCCATCCTTGTCATCTGTAGAGGATATAATTCCCATGTTTATAATACAGCCAAAAGGCTTTCAGGGAAAATAGATATGAATTGTTCCGCACAAGTTTTGAAAACCTTTGAAAAAGAATTCAAGAGTCTGACGTCTACTTTCTACTGTCATGATTACTGAATTAGCAAGATGGATAACTTCAGTCAGAACAGTTTAACATTAAATATATTAAATGATTGAAACTAACATGATGAACCCAGCCAACATAATGTTGACAGACATTTCAAATTTAGAAAATGGGTTAACTCTACTTTTAGCAATATTCCAGCAGCATCACTGCATAAGAGACAAAATATGGACTTACATTGTACCCATATTGGGAATCGAACTCGAGCCATCAACATAATGACAGAACACATTAACCACTACCCCATTGCAAATTACAACATTGATCGACTTATATAATTACAGAATCATCTGTTACAATAATTCAGCTACTCTATACTCAAACATTACATTACTGTGTACTTGAATGACATCTGAAATTCATATCTGCACATAATAAAAATTAATATGATGAATTTATCTCGCCATTCACTCATCTTTACCTAAAATATCAGTATAGACCCCCATTTCATCACAGCTGTCCTCATCATTTAGACTCCTTGATGTAGATGCGTTTGGATCTGAGACAATGTATTCGTCTTCAGTTTCCATGGAAACACTCGCTTCCTGTTTCACATCTGTTGATATACATAAACATGTCTACAGCTGGTTTAGGGTACATTGTGATCATGGCAATGACAACCAAGATATTCACAGATTTACTTCTGATTAAAATTTGTTTACTTGAATCAAAGCCAAACCTGATTACAAATTGAAATATTTCTTTTCCACTGATAGAAAGATTAACAGAAACATTTTCATGGCAATAGAAATGTTACTTCATAATGTTCAAAAGAACGCTTCAAAATATTTGCTTGTAAAATCAAGTGAAAAAGGAAAAAACATGACATTTTCAATATGGCCGCCATGGCAGCCATAACTACAACGCTGACTATAATCCTTCAGGATGTTGTGGCCAAAGAGATGTATCAAAAACAAAATGTTCACAATGAATGCAAACAGAAGACATACATGCCATGATAAAATAATTTCTAATTTAATTGTAAAAATTAAAAAGCAATTTTGATAACTTTGGCCCTGAACTTGGGGATATAACCCCATATATTTATAATATAATTTATATTCATCTCCCATTTATTGGAATTATTACCTAAAATGTTGTAATTGACAGCCATTTCATCAGAGTTGACCTCCTCATGGCGTTCCCTTGAGGCCTTCGTATTTGAAGCATCTGTGGCAAAGCACTGATCCTCTGTTGGCACGGCAACACTTCCTTCCTCGTTAAAATCTGTTAATAATTCAATGTAAAGTTTCAGATTGGTGACTTAAATCTATTTGGTACACTGTGACAACATAAAATTAACTTTAAGTTTACATAAGAATATTATTTCTTACGCTAGTCCTTCATCTGAAAAAGTTCTTTCTTTGTTAGAAAGTATTTGTGTATCTGCTATGTTCAATTCAAATATTGCTGAATCAAATTCTTCATTTTGTCAGAGCAAACAACAGAGACAACAGCGATAAATTCTACCATCTCTACCATGCTGGCGTAACTTGGAGTTAACTACTACTTAGTAACACAGGCGCAAGATCAATGGTACAGATTACTGACTGGATCAATACCCAAGAAGAACTCTTTCTACAGGAAAACTTTATAAATAGTTATCAACATTGCCTGAAGCCATAATGAATATCCAGACAGTATCAGAAGCAGATAATTCTGTTATATGAGCTTGAATGCTGGTAGTAGTAACACCCATACTTAAACAACGATCGAAAAGTAACGCTAGCGTCACGGCCATGGTCAACAAATGCACAGGCTTACCCAAACATCTAAATGCTCTGGCCGATGCAAGAGACAGCATCCATCGCTTCTGCTTTAAGTCAAGACTGAGGGTCTTAGTGCGGTGAGGCTCGCACAGCTATTAACAGCACTTCACTTCAAGACCGCCTCCGTGGTGTAGTGGTTAGAGCGTCCGCCCAGAGTGCGGAAGGTCGCGGGTTCGATCCCCGACCGCGTCATACCAAAAGACGTTAAAATATGGTAAGGGTTGGTCCCTGCCTGGCGCTCGGCATTAATGGGTACAACAAGGACTGGTCGGCTCGGAGTCAGTATAATGTGTCTGAGTGGGGTATTCATGCTTCACTGCGGCATGGTATCTCAGTGGGCTAGCACTATAAAACCAGCTTCAGTCTCGGCTAGTACAAGCAGCCGCACATACACATACACACGCATGCACGTCGTCATATGAGCGAAATATTCTCAAGCACGACGTTAAACCCAATTCCACCACCACCACCACTTCACTTCAAATTTGTCCGTATGTTACTTCAGTTACTTCCCAATATCTTTCACAAAATAATCCAGGCAAACAGTAACACTAGTTTATAGGTAATGACAAAAGTTCTGAAAACAAAGCTGAAAGAAATAAGGACACATTCTGTACACTGAAGATTCTGACACGGTGTGTCACAGAACAGACGTTGCACGTCAAGTCTTCACAATTACAAGAAGTTCTACTGCAAGTTTTGCCACATATCATAAGTTACACTTCATCTGCACTTTCCCTCAAATTCCACATCAACTCTTATCTGGGGGAGTGCTGGTATGGTGTTTCCTATGTCGGTAGAGGGCACTGCTAAGGCTTGCATAGGATGGTAGATGAGGAACCACGTCAGGATGTTCTTGGGCAACTGCTTCCTGATACAGGGTTGGTATTGGGGTAATCTCTTCTCTGGCCTTCTTCCTCATCTTGCTGATAAATCTCACCGTGTCAGGTTCTTGTGGGTCATGGTTGTGAGAAGTGGAGTTCCTGACATGGTTTCCAACTGTTGTAATTCTACCCCGGCAAGTCTTCACAACACACCTCCAGTGGACACAGTGCTTCTTTGTAGAGTTCCTGTTGTGAAGGTGACCTCGAAAGAGTACCTGTTGTGAACCTCGCCTAGAGGTGACGTATTCCACTTCAGTCAATCCTGCCATGACAACAAGAGTGATATGCTAGAGTCTATAACATGGAACTGTTATGGGTTTTTTACGAGATTGAGTAAAATTCAATCAAACTCAGTAGAGTTTAACATTGATTTAAATGTTTGATTATCAACGGTTGTGGTGTATTATGTTCATATAACTTCAATGTAATTTACTTTAATAACATTCATTTATATGTTTTCATTACCAAAGACTGTGGCATTCTCAGTGTTAGAGATTAAACTAACCTCAAGCTCTCAAATTAGCGGGCTAGTCCATTTTTGCATATGAGGCCATACGACCTACAGTACAAAATAGTACATAATATAGTTATTGAGTTACCAAATGTGTACATAGTATGGATCGAAGAAACGTGTACGCTAACAATGTTTCGCAGAATAAACTTATTTCAAATATTTCACTGAGTTGTTGATGATATTAATATCAGAGGATGTACAGAGACTTTGAATGGAGACGTAGTCCATTTTGCACAAAGGGAATATGTCTGTTGTTGTTTTAACTCTTTCAACACAAGTCAACCAGAAGCTTTTACTGCCAAGACACTGAGTTCCCAGTGACTCTAAGGTCATAGATGAAGCCTATGTTTATCAAGGAAAATATCACATGAACTTGTAAAACGTTATTGCTACTACATATCATACACCATTTGAAAGATCTAATCCTACTGTTGATAAATATGAAATTTATTTATATCATATTATTCAAATAATACAACTACAACTTAAATAAATTTATTTTGAATGAAAATGCAAGCTTACACTTATAATGTCTAGATAAACCACGAAAGAAGCAAAAACTATGGCGATTTTTCCATTTGTAACATGTCAATAATATCCCCTCACCTTTTCTTTTATATTTTCATTTTTACGTAATCGGAAAATTATTATAAATAGATTTCTTAAATAATATGTATGGTAGCCTATATCCCGATATCAGTAGCTTTCCGCTCGGTAACATGACACAACAGCGGAAAATACCTCCGTTTTCGAAGTTTCGTATGAATAACATGTGAGGCGATTCGTTTGATGGTGGGTATGGTTCCGAAAGCTCTGAACATCAACAATATCACTGTTCCCTTGCCAAGAGTATTTTCACAGTTGTAAGAAGCGATTTTATTGGATAAAGATTGGTTTCTAATGACGCTTTTTCGCCAGTCTGCTATAAGAACCGTGACTGGTCAAAATCAGGCACATGACCCAAGGCAGCAAATCATATTACAGCAATGGATGTCATCCTCATAAACGAACACCTTTTAGTTTATATTTAGACGAAAGTTTTGGGTAAAATAATGCTATTTTGAACATATTAAGCAAGAAATCACTACCTATACGTAAATTATGGAACTTCTTGGATGTATCGTGCTAGGTTATGACCTGTGACAAAAATGCTTCATGCACATATTTTCGCATTAAACACTGTGTCCGAGCGTGAAGACTGAGGCAGCGAAAGCCGAGATGTCACTTGTCAGCGACTTGACTTACATTACATGATCGACAAAAAGATGGAAATAGAAATTTATGTGTACGTTTGACAACTTTTTTGAATGCTGATGACATTAGTTTATTCAATTTATTTATGGTGGAACATCGCTACTTTGCTCTTTAAAACAATTTTATTGTGGACCCGCTGCCGAAGCATGTGTCCAAGAATCGTTATCAATAACATTGCGAAAAATAGTTTATAATTTTAATTCTGCCAATAATATATGATCAATTGAAATGTAATAGATGCTTTCAGGCATTGTGCAAAGTGATAGATTTAATATATGAAACATAAGTCAGGTAGGTTCCTAAAATAATATCTCATTTTGACGTGACTACTGCCTGGCCGATTAATCGGCCTCCGATGTCTGGGGACTTATAATGTTGTGGCCGATTATTCGGCCTGCGGTGTTGAATGGGTTAAATAATCCCTCATTTGCTGCATGACTAGTGGGAGTAGGACTAATGGGCATCTGACTAATGGGACATGACCCCTGTACCAGCAGAAGACCCAAGTCATCATGAGTGTCACACCTGCCTCAAGTTGCAATTAACACCTGGGAAAACATCAGCCTGACTTTTCAAACTGAGTACTTGTCATACCTATCAATATTGCACTTTTTCATGTGTTTCCCTGCATAGGTGAGTAAGTGTTTGACCCCCCAATACATATGTGATTAAGCAATGGTAACACAAAAGCCACTAGCATCAGCATCCATCAAAACAGATTACATGCCAGTACAACCAGCACATCATGGACTTGGAACTACATTGGACAAGGCCAACAGACTTAACTACACAAGGAGACATTTGGGTTTGCACCATTACAAGTCATCCAGCAATCTCAGGCTATTATGTTGGATGTATCATGTGAACTGTATCTGAGAACTTCATGAAATCTGTATCTAATCTCTGCATAGGCCACCTATTTTAAAACACCTGCCCGCTCGTTAACCAACGAGAAGCTAGTATTTAAAAGTAATGCCTGATAATTCAATTATTCTTCCTCCAGGTGCTTCAAAGAGTACCGATGAAGAAAGTTCCATTATGGTTTTGTCATAGAGGCACAGTATTACTATTAGTACTTGCTCTGACGTAAAAGTTATCAAAATGTTCATTACACCAAGCTGTCGAAAATCGATATATTATAACCAGGGCTCGATTTAAGAGATGTTAACCTACTTGCACGAGGTGCAGCCAAAGATAAAAACCTAGCTGACCAACCAATTCCAGTTGCACTGCTTTTATTGCAATATGTAGAGGCAATTATTTAGATGTTTTAATCAGAAGTTTACTAACTCAAAAATTGACTTGCACCTCGTGCAAGTTAGACTGATAACTAGGTTGCACTTTCTAAATTGGGTTGCACCCTTGCAAGTAACCCCTGACAACTGCAGTGTTCCACTTAATAGCGCCTGACCCTCTGACAAATCTGGCAGAATACGGTCCGATAGAAGTCTACAACCCACGGCCCCAGTGTCTTTATGTTTAATGACTTTGACTGAAGTTGTTGCACATGATCTTATGTTTGCAAGTAATTTTAAATCTAAAATGTGTGTTTAGTTTCATTCTATGGTCCTGTGAATTTTCAATGGGTCAGACAGACATCTGAAACTTACAGGACCCAATGTCCTGTTACTGTGAAACACCTTTCGTGAACACTGCAACTGTCCATTAAAACACCAGGGAGTTCAAAGCAAAACTTGTTTTCATATGGACCCTTGTCAAGAAGTAAAATTATAACAACAGAAATGCAAATATGACATTTAGCCATAACACAAATGTATTGTCTCCAGCTCAAATCAACCAGTACAA